TGCAGGGGGTGGACCGCCCCGTGGTGTACATCAGTAGGAAGCTGTCCGAGAGGGAGGCCAGGTACAGCACAGTAGAGAAGGAGTGCCTGGCCATCCGGTGGGCGGTCGACTCCCTACACTACTACCTCCTGGGACGCTCATTCACCCTCTGTTCGGACCACGCCCCGCTCCAATGGCTCCACCGCATGAAAGATGCTAACGCCCGGATCACTCGGTGGTATCTGGCTCTACAGCCTTTTAATTTCAAGGTGGTCCATAGGCCGGGGGCGCAGATGGTCGTGGCGGACTTCCTCTCCCGCCCTCTCGAGGGCGAGGGGGGGAAGTAGGTTCGGCCGGATGGCTCCCCGGCCTAAGTCGGGCGGTGGGGGTATGTGGTGGCGGGCGTGGTTTGGCTCAGCTGCAGGGGGGGGACTGAGAAGGGAGTGGTTCAGGGAACGGTGCCGGGGGAGACAATTGGCCTCAGCTGATGTGAATCAACAATCAGTATTCTGCTGTTAAGTAGGAGAGATCCGGCGACAGCGGGAGAGCGAGGCGAGGAGGCTGGAGCCGGTGTTGGTTTTTATTTATATTTTCACACACACAACAACATTTACAATGGACCCGACTGCCTCGTGCCCGTCATTCCAAGACCCCTCCAAAGGACCAACCTGTTACAATTACATCTTATTAGTCTTTTAAAGTGAGGGCTGCCCACTTCTCTCGTTGACAATGAAATGCATCGCAAAGTGACTTAAATTGCTTATGTTGGTTGTTGTTAGTTTGCGCCCTGAAATGCGGTTTGTGTCTCTTATCAACCGATCAATTAGAGCAGCCGATGAAGTGTTGGGCGACTTCCTGTCACCCAAAATTGTAAAGACACCCACTCATGAAGAGATAAGTGCCGCTGTCAGTGAGATTGACTCAGCAGATGCCTGGTCTCACACGCTGACATAAGAGCATCATCACTTGTACCCGAGGACACCATGAGGACTCTGAGCTGCACCGTGGGACTCCTGCTGTCCGTCTCCATCTACTGCTGCATCGCCATGCGTGAGTCCTGACTCTGTTTCTGGTTCCCATGTTGATAAATCATTTGATTAATGCTCCAATTGATAATTATCCAATGGTTTCCATCCTGTTAACAATAATTTTAAACAATTTACATTCTTATTTATTAATGTCATACATGTAAAAAGTTATTAAAGTCAATAAAGTTTATATTATATATATATAAATTCACCCAATATAATATTAGATATATCACATTTAATTGGATTACATTAAATAAATAATATTTAGATATGCTGCGTTCTTTAATTTAATATACATAAGGGAAAATAATAATAATAATAACAACCCAAATAGGTAAAACCCCCAAACTCTGAGTGGCCATGTTCTCAGTGGTATGTCGCCACAGCGAGATTTAGTGTATATGATAAATGGCTGGTAAATCTATTTACTAGTAGAAATGTGTTTGGTTTTGTATGAATCTGAGAAACGTTATTTAGAAAAACAGTTATTTTGACATCACGACTTAAACAAGTTCTTTGAGATACATTTGGGTTACTGAATTTTCTAACTGTAGGTGAAGTCAAAGTACGCAATTTAGAGCGTTCCCTAAACAGACGATTACATGAAAACCATACAAACTTATTTTTGAATAGTATATAGTTGTAACTTACATTCCTAGATGTCTACCCAGTGATATTAAAAGTAATAAATATGGATGTAGTTGCAGCCTGATTAAATGTGTCTCCATGTGTTCTGACACCAATCCTGGTTTTCTCTTGTCTTTGCAGCCCAGGCAGTGGAACAAATGTCACATGGGGTGTGCTGCTTTACATTCTCTACAGTAACGGTCCCGAAAAACAACATTGTCTCCGTCACCAAGACCCACCGCAGCTGTCCTGAAAAGGCATTTGTGTATGTTGGACATTGTTTTCTGTCACCCGAGATCACCACAGCAGTGAATAATGATTATCCAAAGCGACTTACAATAAGTGCATTCAACCATAGGAGTACAAACTCAGAAGAACAAGAAACAAAAAAGTCTAATTTCCTCAAATAAGCCAATTTACAATTTGTTAGATGAGTGGCGTTAAAAGTTCAATTCAAGTGCTACAATTTGCAAGTCTTTTTGTTAGTCCTTTCATGATGATGATCACATTTCAAGGAAGAGTGTGTGACTGTTTCCATGGATTTCTTTGTTTTTTTGCAGGGTCACAACTGTCAAAGGGAGGCAGTTCTGCGTGGGCCACTATGTGAACTGGGCTCAGAAAGCCTTCAAGCAGCAGCAAGTCACCGAGGGCTAGTGCTCGTCCTCCTGACGCTCGTCCTCCTGACGCTCGTCCTCCTGACGCTCGTCCTCCTGACGCTCGTCCTCCTGACGCTCGTCCTCCTGATGCTCGTCCTCGTCCAATCGCCCTGCAGCTTACTTTCAAACACCCGTTAACCATTTGAGCCATTAACCCTTGTTTTGCGTTATTCTTCATATTACCATTTTACCAAATGTATCGATGCATGCATTCATGAAACAACAAACAAACAAACAAATAAATACATATCTGTTTGGCTGTTGCTTAATAAAGCTTGAGAAGGGCCACAGCATGGTGACATTTCAGAGCTCAACACACTTTTTAAGGGATATGCTTTTGGTTGCCTGAAACTAACAATATAGCTCAAAGATGTCAGATAGCTACATAATCTTCCAAAACTTCACAAATCAAGTCAAATCAAATCAAGAAACTGCAGTGCTGCAGCGTGTTGAACTGCTCCGATCATCTTTTAGATTCCACGGTGCATTCGTTCAGTACACCAACGCCTGTCTTTGACCCAGTAATGGGATGAATTCATTTCTATTCATTTAAGTTGTGTTGCATTTATCAAATGGAACACACATTTGATTTCAGTTCCATTTGTCAGACTATCTCCATAACAACAACATACTTTTATTACTATGCTATTATATTGTCATTATAACAGTGGCATAAAATGATCTGAAAATTGCAATAACATCGCATATCGCATAACTGTTGTGGAATAAACCAACAAAAAATATTGATATTGTGACAGCCGACCATTATGTGATATGGATTTCTGACCATATTTGCCATATTAGCGAGAATTTGCTCTTTACCGTTGAAAAATCTATCAATAGGATTGATTGAACAACTAGATATATCGAACCTACATGGTTTCTGGTTAAAG